CAATTAAAATAACCACAAACTATTGAAAAATTCATCGTAATTTTTTTTGCCAAGAAGATGGGCTCCCAGGCCAACAGTGGCCCTGTGCTTAAGCACACCTAAAGCACAATGGTAAATCCAGTACTGCTTATAACCAAGAATGTATGGTACTCACAAAAGTGAATTAGTCCATGCTACTACACAGCAAAAAATGAAAATGTTACAATGCTAAAGGCAACCTGATAAGTTAATTAGGCAGACACTGACTGCATGTTCACCGGATAATGATCCATCAATGATGTTACTGTTGCTAAAAATAGAGAAACCTTTCATCAACTTTTTCTCAGAGACCGCTCATCAGAATTTAACAAAATTTTAAGAAAGCGAAACAGTTTTATCAAATTTTACAAGAACCTTTCCAGCTTGAAGGCTTTATACATTTGTACAAAATGAAGGTGATCCACCATAAAAAATGGGTGCTGTTACTACATATAGAAAAACAGGAATACAACTTTATGTAAAAGCAAGCTTTTAACAAACTTTGACCAGCTCTGACAGAAAGTGTCATGACACAGATGCATTAAAATATTGGACAGATAATGTTTATATGCCTTGAAATATGAATAAATATATAATAAAAACCCAGAAACTTTAAATCTACTGTTTTCATAACAATAATTGCAATCAACAGCATTGGAACAAAATTTGCAGAAAAAGCATAATGGTGACCCAGATTTCTTCAACTGCTATTAGGCATGAGCTGCAGCTGAGCAATCACAGTATCACATGGGTCTCTTACTTTATTAGTGAAGGAAAATGCAATAATTGAAAGCAAATGACCTAAAAATTTAACCTGCTTTTTTATGTAAGAACATGGACAGTTGCCATATTGGAAGTATGGCAGTGCTTAGTCAACAGATCTGCTGGATATCATTTAGAATTGTATGTAGATGTGTTTTAAAAATGTTGTCTTTTCTGTGACTGAGCTATTGTCTCTTTTCCATCAATCTCTACTATTTCAGATCTTTGTAAACCAGCATAGAACCATGCTACTACATATTCTGATGAAGTTATGCATCAAGCTATATATTCATGATATAATGAATGACTCCATATTTAAGAGTTCTTCTTTATCTTTAAAACATTTATGTACTCAGATTGCATATCCTCCTAACTTTTCTACCAGTGGCATAATTCACTTAGAATTATTTGATTTCAGCCAGTTATTATGGATATTTATTTTGAAAAGAATTGGAATGACTTTGATTTCCAACATCAAATATCATATTTAGAAGAGTTTTGGTTCCTGAATCCAAACTGCTGACTCGGCCAATTATGATCCACTACTTGTTCTAGTTATAACTGGTAATTGTTTGACTTACAAAGCAATGATATGCCTTCCTTAAAGACCAGGTTGAAAGCCTACTTTGAACTTAAAACAGTTCATGCCAGACATGCTGTATAAGAATTGGCTTTTGAATGGCTATGCCCTTAGTGGTGTGGTTCTTGTAATAGCCTTACTTAGAAGGTTTTTTTTTTCTAAAAGTTATTCCAACTTTGACTTTTACATTTTTACTGGCACTTTAAAGCCATGATTGTGCCATTATATACTGTACTACCCCTTGGTGTGCATTAATTAGCAACCATAATGAAAATAAGTGTCAACTTCTTTCTGTATGCAATGTTTCTTGGCCATATGACTTCAGTAAGGTAATTGCAAATAAGTAAAAAAAATGCTTCAAATCAACTATCATTTAAATAATATTTTTTTAGTGTACTATCATAAAGTAAATTACAAAATGGCAGTATAAAACACATCTAAAATAGTTTGAAATAAGCAGTATAAAGTGTGCATGAGAGATCATCATAGGTGTCTAAATTACATCATAATGTTCATCCTTTCAAACGATAACAGTTACTGATTGTATTGATAATTAACCTGAACTTTGCAACTATGTCAAGAAAATTAATTTTGAATTAATTGTGAATCTGCAGCACTGTCAGTGTTTGGTGAAGATTAACAAGTTTGTTCTAGTGGCAGCTGATTAACTATTTATACCTATTTGGAATTACAATGATTTAATCTATGTACACATATCAGTTGGAATTAATTATAGTATATAATTTCTAATGTGCTATGTTAAGTCACATGGCAAAAAAAAAATTGGTGTAGAGACCAAAAAAGGTACATAATAATACAAAAAGTTTTAATTTTAATTTCAATGTTGCGGGTCAAACATAACTTATAAATTGACACACAGCCAAATATGGCACCTTGCATGCAACCTGATCGCATCTTTTTTCTAGAAAGAGTTATTTTTCAAATATGACCACTCACTTTCTAGCATCATAAGAGTAATCTATAGATAGGATTGCAGCTTTATGGTTTTAATATTTGTTTACATACCCAAATATTGCTGTGTTTTACTAGACATAATTTACTTACATACCTGCAATAATGTTGTTTATTAGTTAGACATAATTTGCTTACATACCTGCAATAATGTTGTTTATTAGTTAGACATAATTTGCTTACATACCTGCAATAATGTTGTTTATTAGTTAGACATAATTTGCTTACATACCTGCAATAATGTTGTTTATTAGTTAGACATAATTTGCTTACATACCTGCAATAATGTTGTTTATTGGTTAGACATAATTTGCTTCATTGCATTTTTGTATTTCCCTAAAATAAGTGATCATAGAAAACAGCTTTGACTTTACAATGCTTTTTAAATTGCATAACATTGCACTGTCCCATATGTTTCTTACCTTCATATCTTTATATTAAGCTAAATCTTTTATACATGATATTTAAGCTTTGCTTTCTATAAATGAATTGTATATTTTACTTAAGTTATTTGCCAAATGATTAATGAAAATAGAACTCTGTTAAAGTAGAACTTTCCAGACATAGCATAGACCAACCTGTTCTTATCTGCCTTTTTTGGATACCAGTTGTGTGAGGAAAAGGAAGGCAGATAATAACTTTTGGTCAAAGTGATGTCCACCCTTATTACATGGACAGGTTCACTTGCAGTTTCAAACTAATTTAATGAGGACAAAGCAATACTTACCCTATATAAATTGAATCTTCAATAGTCATGAATAATTATTAGTTGTTTGCCTGTTTATTCTTTAAGTTGAGGATTCATCAGAGATGTCTTTTGCAGGAATATGCACTCATTTCTTTCAGATTAAAAAAAGAAATATTGACAACACCCACTTGCCTGTTACAAATTAACAAATGGTGACTAACTCACAGAATTTTAAGTCTGCATCCACACCTCCAATTTTTGCTAATTATTTCATCCTGTCAGCATATGTCAAGGAGATATTCCAGACTTGTTTTTCATGCATGATTTGAATACTTTACTCATCATTTAATCACCTTTATGTAAATCATCTCAGTTGATTTGTATCTTCTCTAATTAGATTGAATTTGAATTCCATTCTTCTGTGTGCCATTCATTAAGTATGTTAAATTCAGTTCTGATTGGCAATTATTGTTAAAGTCAAAGGTAAAACAATAACCACTAATTAGAACTAACTGTAGTTAATTTGCTCTTTGACTTATCAGGAGTATTGCATCAAAAACTTGATCCAGATAAACACAATTCAACAGACTCATGTGGCTATTCAATGATCTGTAAAGTTGCACATGGGAACAAGTTTGCATTGTCAGCCATTTACACTAATATATGAAATCAGTGGGGTAGGAATAAAATGCTAAAAGGACTTACAGTCTGAGAAAAATACCAAGGATATTTTTATTGACATTTTCAGTCAATATTTCTATTTCACAAAAGAACTCACCATTCGCAAAAAGGACCCAGCATGATTTTATTAACAGTTTCAATCAATATTTATTTTTCATGAATGACATTAATGTACCAATTCATTTTACATAGCATATTTCTTTTTAATATAAAGTGTTAAAAATGTGAAAAGGATCCAGTATGTTTTTGTGAACAGTTTCATTCAATATTTCTATTTCAGAGGTGATATTAATTTTTTTTATTAATTGGATCTTTGTCATATACAGATTTATGGTTTTACTTCAATTTTACAGTAACCTCATAAATTATCTATAAGGAAACATTGGGTTCAGTTTGCAGATTTTCTTGGTAGCAGTATAACTTTTTAGATTATACTAAAAAGAAGATTTGTCAGTCAAACCAAATAATCCTGGATTGGTTTAAGGAATATGCATTTGCCACAAAGTAAAAAGGACTTCAAAACTAAATTTAAAGCTGTATTTAAAGCTGTCTTGGTCATTTTTCAGATTTATTGTAACCTGTATTTAAATAGTCTTATTTGTCATATATTTATTTCTTTACATTTTTTTCAGAAAGTAAAATGGTGACAGTTGTCAGAGTAACAACTGTATATTGAGGTATATATTGTATGCTATTATAGTTTTATTTCATTGTTTGATGGATTTGTACATTTGTTTTTTTTTGTCCTTACAGTCAATTCTTCTCATCTCATCCTAATTTATCAATTTTATTTCCTATTTGGTTAAACAAGAGGCTTTATGCTAAAAGAATAAAATGTGATATTTCCGAGATATCAGTAGTCTATCACTGCACATTGATCTTTAAAAGCTGATGATTGTAAATTTGTATACAAATTATTACAGGAACTTAAGATATTTAACTAAATGTTACCTTGTTTTATATCAATCCAAATTGTTATGCACTGGTATGATGTGGTTCATTGACTACTGCATTACATCTGGAATCCTGTTATAACAAAGTGTTATAACAAAAGGAGTGCTATAGCTGACTATACATGCATGTACATAAAGTTGGTAGATATACTGCACCAATTTAGCACACTTAATACAAATACCAGCATGCAAATAAAGGTGGGGTGGGGGTGTTCACTCATTTCTCCCACACTGAGAAGATAGCTGCAGTACTGCCATGTAGATTCTAAATAAAGGTATAATTATTTTTCTTGCTTGATGAATGTATCTTCATTAAACTTTTATTATTCAAATACTGTATTAGAACCACTCTGGTGGCCTAGTGGTTCGAGTGTTTGCCTTGGATGCGGGAGGTCGTGGGTTCGATTCACAGTTGAGTCATACCAAAGACACACAGAAATGGTACTAACAGCTGCCTTGCTTGATGCTCAGCATTGTGAGGTTAGTGTTTAGGACTCAGGTCGGCCTGGTGTCAGGATAATGTGACTGGGTGGGACACATGCTACATATCTGCAGCATGATGCTCCAGTGCTAGACATCACTATAAACTGCCACACTGCAGATATCATAGCAATATGACTGAAAATTTTATAAAGCTATGTTAAAAATCATAATCACATAACATTAAATATTGTCATACAGTTGCATTCAATAGTAAAAGGGTTTCTTTTAAATATCTAACAAACAAATGTGAAAATAGCTATGTTCCTTATTGATGATATACAGATGAAGTAGGTGCATTTTAGGGTGGGTGCGTGGGTGTGATAGCCAAAGTCTGTAAATTTTATTTGAATTCAATAAAATTAATTTCTTATAATATCATACATAGTTATGTTGAGTATAGTGGAAAGGGTTTTTTCCTGTAGTTATGCTTAGCTGTGTATTTGCCTAATTTGTGGAGCATGTGTAAGGATTTGTCTTTATTGGATACTTGTCTTAATTTCTTGTATTTTTAAAGCCTTACTTATACTTCATTAAGTTTCATGATAAACATTTTTTTTCACTGTTCTTTTTTTATTTTGATAATTGGAGTACTTGGAACTGTCTTTCCATCTATCCTAGGTAAATTTAAAGATTTAATTAACATTAAACTATTCTATCATAACTACATTCAAACCTGAAGTTTAAGAAGTATTAAATGCTATGTAAAATGAGTTAATATTCAAATTATTTTCATTTGTGAAATAGAAATATTGATTGATAGTATTAGTATAATCATCCTCTTTCCTTTTTGCAAATGGTAGATCCTTTCTGGACCGCTGCAGTGGCCTATGTGGTAAAAGCGTCTCGCTCGGATGCGAGAAGTTATGGGTTTGAACCCTGGCTAAGAAAAACCAAAGACATAAAAATAACACTAACAGCTGCCTCACTTGGCACTCAGTATTAAGAGGTTAGTGTTGGGACTGGTTAGCCTGGTATTAGGACAATTTGACTGGGTGGGACATCATGCCACATGTCTGCAGCATGCTGCCCAAGTACTAAAAATCACTATAAACTGCCACACTGCAGGCATCATTGCAATATGACTGAAAAATTGTTAAAGCTATGTTAAAAATCCAAATCACACATACACACATCCTTTTCCCAAAAAGGAATCCTTTTCCTACTTCATAGCACCATTAAATCAGCAACTGATGGTACAGATGGGATTAAAATAAATTAGCACAGACTTGACAAGGGAGCAGATTCCAATCTGTGTGACTTATTGTCAATTTCTATAAGATGATTTGTCATAATCCTTTCTCACTGACACACTCTAGTGACAGTGGCATTATAGTTGTTTTGCACTAAGTACAATATAATGGGTTTGGTTGTTAGTCATCTCTTCTTCCAGTCGGACATTAGATAATATTTTTCTTGCAAGATGAAATGGTTTCGTCTGTTTTGAAGTGAATACCATAATGCCTTTTAAATTTAAGTGAAGACATTTCATCATCATCATCATTATCATCATCATCATCATCATCATCATCATCATCATCATCATCAAACCTTTACCCTAAGCAGTTGTTGGGGCACCACAGTTGACTTTACAACCAATTCTCTCTATCTTTCCCTGGGAATCTCCAAATCCCATGCCAGTCCTCTACTTAATATTATTCCCCCCCCTTTTTTTTTCTGTTTGACTCTTATTCTGCACTCTCACACTATCACTTGCAAGATTGTTTTTGCCAGTCCAAAAGCAATGTTGGTATCTTCCCATGTTGGTTTCATCCTTGTTATTATTGCTGTTGTCTGGGCAAAGTAGTTCTGGTTTGGAGCCCCCATCTGTGATAATTGATCCCAAGTGCTTCAAACTTGTGACTCTTTCCAGCTTCTGTCCACTGACCTTTATTTCTGCACTGATGCCATTGGTGTTGTTTGTCAACAGTTTGGGTTTTTTCAGCAAAAATATCCATACTGTATGCTCTGGAGGTTGTGTTAAGGTGCTGAACCAAGTCAGACAGCTTTTTTTCATCTGCAGCTAAAAACATCAATATCATCTGCAAAGGTTGGTGATTGCTCTTCATGAAGAAGATATCTAATAATAATAATAATAATAATAATAATAATAATAATAATAATAATAATAATAATAATAATAATAATAATAATAATAATAATAATAATAATAATAATAATAAGAGTAATAATAATAATAATAATAATAATAATAATAATAATAATAATAATAATAATAATAATAATAATAATAATAATAATAATAATAATAATAATAATTAATAACAATACTTTAATGTATTCATGCAGTTCCTATTAAAGGGCAAGGTGACCAAAAGGAGTCCTGCATTAGATTAATGGGGCAGCTCGAAATTACCTTAAATGTTAATTAAAACCACTGACAACTAACAGGTACTTGTTTGGGAAATATTTTGTTCTCACTTGTCAAGGATGAGAATGGAATAAGTTTATGTATGTCTGTAATATGCATGCTGGAAATACAAACAAGATGTCACATATAAAATGGCAAGATCATAAAGCTGATATGTTTTGATAATGTTTCATTTCTTGGGCAATATATTGTGAAACATTGATACTTAGCACAGGTGTATCGTTTCACTCCAATTTTTATGTTATAAGCTTTAAAATACAAGTTGGTATATTTTCATCATAAAATGAACACTTGCAGAAATTGGGTAGTGATAACTTACATGAAAAGGTTAATGGTCAGTCAGTTAATAAAACACATGCCTGCATTCATGTACAACACTGCAACTACCTGGCTGGTTTGTGCAACATTATCAGTCATAAACTACTGTCACACAGTGAAAAATCATTTCACTTTCCTAACAGAAAAGGCAGTTTTTACATTTTTAGCTGACTTAGTTGCCCACTCTACCCACTTTGCCTGGTGGTGTGTACACCCCTGATAAAAAATTATCTTCCTTTGACCTTGAAATGAAAATCATGAAAGCTGTTAATTTTACAATATTGCCTTACAGATATGAAAATATTTGCCAGTTATCATACTACTAATTGATTTCAGTTTATGAGTCCCAAAAGGCAAAGTGAATATAGTCTGTGACATTGACTTTCAGGAAGAGATAGAAATGCACACTCTAGTTCTGATGTATAAATTTAAAATATATCATCCAGCTAATGGGATGTTTTTAGTAAACCTACCAAGCAAAGTAATAAAAGAAGACTGTACAAAATTATACAGCTATCTTTCCACACTGATTCCATGTTTTCTTTAAGCATGTCAATGGCATCACATTTATAGTTTTTGTACTGCATATTTGATCATGTAAGCATAAATCTCAAGTGAGATGCAGAAAAAAACTAGAATTAGGTGATGACATGGCATTGCAAGATTGCAATGTTTCCATTTCATACAACAAGGGATGCAAAACAGTTTCCAAATTATAGCCCAGAAACAAATCCTCTTCTTCAGGGTCTGTACTTAAAATGGGTTGGATTTCATCTGATATCCTTTAATCAATACATAGTCAGAAAATAGATATCTTAACTGTTTCCAAGCTATGACCCCAGGGCAAATCATCAGCTAGTATGTTTACTTATGTCTCATGCCCTTAAGACCTGTATATGGTGAATGGGTGAGGATCTCAGTAATTTCCAATTTGTAACCCAGAGTCAGCATCCCCACAAGGCCCATCACTTGAGTAAGACTGGAGAGTGTAAAAAAAGAATCAGCTTCCTAAAAGGGCCCACCCTTGGGAAAGACCAGATTGTGTAACCCAGAGCCTGCATACCAACCAGGCCCACTCCTTGGGTAAGACCAAAAAGTTTAACCCAGAGCCTCCATACCAACAGGTCCAACCCATTGGGTAAGACCAGAAAGTGTTACCCAGAGCCTCCATACCAACAGGTCCAACCCATTGGGTAAGACCAGAAAGTGTAACCCAGAGCCTGCATACCAACCAGGCCCACTCCTTGGGTAAGACCAGAAAGTGTAACCCAGAGCCTCCATACCAACAGGTCCAACCCATCGGGTAAGACCAGAGAGCATAACTCAAAAGCGGATTAGATATATTATAGCCCAGGCCTTGATGAGGACACAATCCACCTACAAATACTTAAAATATTTAGATTTTACTTTTTTTACTATCTCCAAACCATTGATTTTTGACCCAAGGGTAATAATAAAATTTTAAAGTCATTGTGAAGATAACAGCTAATCATATCCCAGTTTTAAGTCTTCATTGGTGTGAGAAATACATTTCTAAAGGAGGTATTTTCAGGCAGGTAAGCCAGAAGAAACAACCTCAACATATTTTAAAATTGCATAGTAATAAAAGTTATTGTGAATTGTTTGTAGTTTATATTTCATTATTGTTTTATTTTGTATACTTATTTTTACATTATGACAATCGATGATAATTAGGAAAGATTTCAAATACTTTGATTGTTTGGCAAGGTACACCTTCCATGAAACAGCTTGTTCAAGACATAAGAAAAACAAAGCAAATTTACATATACTTGAATCAATAACTTTGACCATATAGTGGTAAGACTTTGTATTTAATCTTCAATATTAATTGTACTTCTGTCATAACTTTAAACAACAGAAACTAAGTAAGTTCAAATATTAATTATCATCTACCCTATCAATATGTTATTCTTATTGTCTCTGTCTCCAGATACTGTACAATCTTTTGAAAGACCCATTGAAATTCCCATTTGCATTCCAACTGGGTATTACAACAAGAGTTTGTGCATGCATTCCCAATGAAGCGATTGAAGCTATTGACCAGAAATCCAGGTTCTGGTCACCATAACTTTCCATGCTGACCTCTTCTTAGTTTTTAAATTTTAGCAGCCAAAGGGGGACACTCTAATCCCAGCCACATTAAAGTACAAGTTTTATTGGTGAAACTAATACACATCCACCATAATGTTGCATTTTTAAAGGCTGTTCC